TCTTTCTGACTCAAAAAGTTCTCTGGGCTTTGGGCAGCAAGGAGGAGTCTGCGATCTTTCTAGAACCCCTCTACTCTCCAGGTAGAGGCCACAGTGTACTGAGGCAGCAGTTACCCGTAGCCACTCTCCCCACCCCCCAAACCTGGAAGCAGCTGCCACTTGCAGGTGCAGAAGCAGCCGTATATGCAGTATTTGTTCCTGACCCAGATCTTGGCAGCATCCTGGAGACGGCTGTGCTCTCAGTGTGGTGGCAGTGTGAGCATGTGACACGGACACCCAGAGCCTTCTAGTGGCTTGGCCAGGCCTGGCCACTGAGCAGGAGTCGGTTGAGCTGGGTTCTATTTCTGGGTGAACTTCAAACTCCCTGGGTGACCTTGGGCAAGACTCCTAATCCTTCACCCCCCCATTTTGACCACTTGTGTTTATAAAACATACCTCTCCCCTACCCCATCCATAGTAGAAAAACAAAACCCCAGTCTCATGTGTGGCCTTCAGGGGATTTATGAGCTGATATGCAGAACTCTGAGTGCCTGAGAAGAAAGCTGCTGTGTAAACACAATATATTATTAATAAAACGTTAAAAAATAGCATCACACCCTCTGCTGATAATAGCTGCTTTCGGCTGTTGGAGTGGCTTTGACATACAGGTTCCCAGCAGTGTCGAAGGAAGGGTGACTGTGGTTTTGAATTTGCAGCACATTTAAAAGAAGATGAAAAGGGGTTCTAAAAACATTTTTGAGTATGTCCATAGGTGTATTGGTGAAGAAAATATGATTACAACTCTGTGAAATTCAACTTTGGTAAACCAAATCACAAATTTCTTTTGACTTTCATTGTATTTCAGAGCTGCTTTACAGGGTGGGCTATGGCTGAAGTGTTAGGAGTCTTTCTTCCTCCCATCCCCATTGGTAACCGGTTGATGCCCCCTTGGACTGCAGGGGGGAAACTTATGGATCAGTTAGTGATTAACTAATCAGCTGGTGATTATAATCTACAGATGCCTATGGAACACCTGTTATGTGTTACTGTAGACACTGAGAAATAACCAGTGTGGTTCTTTCCCTTAAGGGGGGGGGGGGGGGGGGGGGATTAAAGATATTTAAGCAAGAAATTACTTACAGAGGCCCTGAATCCTTTATACTTATCTCCTTAAGTAATGTAAACAAAATCCAAACCCACTTTTTGTGCAGAATAGAGGCATGTCTGTAGTGATCTGGTTCAAGGTGGATTCCATTACTGCCGTTCCCTGTCGGAAAAAGAACAGACATTTGTCCCTTTCTTCTCCCAGAGGAGTATGGAGATAGAGGCTCCCTTGTAGTGACAAATCACCTGTAGAAAGTCTAGCTTACAAGTGGTGGCTGCCCTGCTCATTTTTGAGCAAGAGAAAGAAAGCTGGTCAGTAAACAACTGTACTGTACCGTGGGACCCCATTCATTCCTCACCAGCT